CTACACCACTGTAATCTCTCACTTTTTTGTAGTTTGGTATCACCATGTTAATGGTTATTCATTTTTTGCATTTTACAAACTGAAAAAAGAAGAATACACCATATTTTTCTGATCAGTAAACTATTTGCTTTATTTGAGAGAAAGTAGATTCAGCATTACATGAAGAACAAAATTAACTTGATTATTAATCCAGACAACAGATTTTAATTTGAAAATCTAATGGATAAAATGTAAACTGATTGATTCTCAGCTATTTTGTTTGATGCACTTTTCAGGCCTACACCCACAGCTGGTGATATGCCTGTAGGTGTACTGCCTGGTAGATTGGTCATGGCACTGCAGAGTCACTGGTCTATTCTCTGAGCTCTGCTCCAGACAGCATACACTCTCCTGCATTAGCAGGGTGCCTTGTAACACCACCCTGTTGCAAGAGACAGATGGGAGGAGAGGGGAGTGAGATTGAGGAAAAGAACAGGATTTCAAATTTAGAAAAAGTATCTAAAATTCACATGTCGAAACTACTGCTCTTGACAGCTTCATTTAGTCTCACCTTGGCTGAGATGCACACTGACCCTGACACACAGGCATCTGTATGACAGTGGTACAGTTGTCAATGGTGATGTTAATGCTGGACATCCTAGCAGCGCATTTCTGAGTACCTGGAGTCGGAATAGACATAAAAGAAGAGTCAGTGTGATGAGTGTGACATTTAAGGGTTAAAATCATGCACTAATATAACCCAAAATACACTTATATGAATTAATATTTGCAGTGTAATTTGCTGTTTATGATGACCAAGACGGCTCGAATAAAAAAAGTCATAAAAGTACAAATGTCTATATAAATGAATGGGAGACAAGGTAAATCTGAAGATTCTAGGGTTGAAATTCTATAAAGAGTAAAAAGGTTCAGTGTAGCAAAGTTAGCATAAATTGCTTCAGTTTTTTCTTCACTTACATGTATAACAGCAGTGCTGGTCATCCCAAATTCTGTCCTCCTGCAAGACAAGAAAATAATACTAATGTTAAGCCACTCTGCTGAGCTTAGTCTTTAAACATTGGAATAAAAAAATAAGTCATAAGACACTCTAATCACACAAGTTAAAATACACTTTTCGTTGCAAGTCATGTACAATAAAGGGTAAATGCAGTAAAATATGTATTTATTATTACTGATTTTGCAGTTGCAGGATAACATTACCTCAGGGCAGCTTTGGTTGGGGCAGACTTTGGACTCAGTCTGAATGCCATCTTTGTTGCAGCTAAATGTCATGCAGGGACGGGCAGCATCTTTCCAGCTGTCTCCCAACTACATGTGCAAAGATAGAAAACATGGGCGGCCACTGTTGTTTACTTGTTGTACTCCAAATTTGAATTGATTTTCAAGGAGGAAAAAGAAATCTTTCTCAAGTAATGAAATGAAAAATTACACAGACTTTAAACACAACATACCTTGTATGT